CACACACACACACACACACACACACACACACACACACACACACACACGCACACACAGTAAGCGATTTCCCCCAAGTCAGCGATTCACTGTTGCAGCCACGCCCTCGTGCTGTAGAGCAAGTGAGGTCAACCTCTGTGTTAATAAATGATGGGTTCTGAGTGGAAACCTGGTCACCGCAGGGACTCGGGGGTGTGAGAGTGAAAAGTTCAGCGGATCTACAGGAAGCAAAAGAAGAAGAAAAAAAGCACAACCAGCTCTGCAGCTCTGGCTGGAGAGAGAAAAAAAAGGTCTTCATATTTCATGAGCACTTCTCCCTGACTTCACATGTGGGCTACGAACAAACTTGACGGTTTTATCGGAGTTGAGAACACACATGTAACGGGTCAGCGGTGCCGAGGAGTGAGAGACGAGTTTCAGCGAGACCGCCTCCCTCCCTCTGCCTCCTTGCTATTATTTTGTTGAGTTTGCTTCAGCTGGAGCCGTGTCTAGCAGTTTGAGATTCCTCATTACGAGGTGACGTCTTCTTTGTCGGAGGGAAGAAACGTAGCCCGGATCACTCGTCCTCCCTCGCTCAATAGAAGTCCTCTGACCTGAAATGAATGCACCGTCTCCAGCTTCCTCATTCATTTCAGTGGGAGCACTATTTTGGCACAGCATGAGCGCATAGTGTCGCATTAGCTGTCCGTCAACTAAAACTGGCAAGGCACTGCGGATTGAAAACTGTCAACAATCTGGCAGATGCTGCAGTTTAAAGTCCAGACGTGTAAAATTGCATCTTTGCATTTCCAAACACGATTTCCATCGGGGTGACTGTGCAAATTTAAACGTCAAAAGATAAACAAAGATGAACTTTAGTGACTACAGTTGCAAATGCAGGTCCCTTTAAATGTGTGGCAATTACTCAATTTAACTTGGTTCAACGCAACTTCATTATTATTCGACTTGAATTGTGATTCTGAGATGCAACCTGTTAAAAATACTCTTTGACTTAAATTCGTTTCTTGCCGTTCCTGTGTGTGAGAATTCAGCAGGAAGTCAGTCGGCTGTAACCCTCTGAAGGCCCCAAAAACACGCGAGTCTGTAGAACTTTTCAGTTTAACAGTTTAAGGATTCACGGAGATTGGTGCGAGTGTGACTTCACCTTCATACTAATGTGTATCTTACAACTGATGAGATGGAGGATAAGATGTAACACCGTCTCATCGTGCTGTAAACTGTCAGCAGTGCAGTGTTCTGGAGTCTGGAATACAGTCAGTCTCATCTCTAGGAACACACCCACACCAATGCAGCCCTTGGATTTTACAATGCAGTGCTGCGTGTATGTGTGTGTGTGTGTGTGTGTGTGCCTATCATCCTTAGTATAGATAGCAAAGGAAACTGACAGAAGGGCAGGAAGAAAGGCGCAATTACAAGTCTGTCTGCTACTTCAGCACCACGGACAGCGCCATGGATTTATCAATACGTGGCAGAGTTAGGCTGCTGATATTTCAACGCCATAGATTCTTAACTTGCACAAACCTCAGTCAGATAAAGGATCAATGACTCAGGCAGACTAGACTCACATATTCAACAAAAAAACAACAACAACCTGTCTCTCAAAACGGCAACTGTGTGCATGTGTGTACTTGACTCACCAGGGCAGTGAGGCGGGTGCGGGCGCTTATGGCGTGCTTGAGAGCCTGTTTGATCATGGAAGGCAGCCAAAGAACGACGGCCTCCATGTCCTGCTCCCTCCTCATGGCACCGGCCAGCTTCCCCAGTCCATCTACGTAGCTCCTCCAGTGCGGCTGCACTTCGGCCGCTCCCCCCAGGCAGCCGTGCATCACCGCCTGGCAGAAGCCCCGGCAGGCTGGCGGCCCCAGCAGGCCCTGGCAGTGCGGGCAGTACCACAGCCTCAGCAGGGCCCGGCCGCAGTCCCGGCCGGGCCGCAGGTGGTCGGTGGTGTTGACCACCTCGATGCCCAGGTTCAGCGCCTGCAGAAAGACGCGCGTGGCCAGGAGAGAGCGAGACAGACGGGTCATCATCAGTTTGGGATACGGGCCGAATGCTCCCGAGTCCTTCCAGGCTCCTCTCACACACTCCTCGGACGAAGCGGACGCGACGCCGCCCAGCAGGCGGCGGTAGGCCAGGGGGAAGAGGCGACCGTAGAGCACCGCCACCATGTGGTCCACCGTGGAGTCCGAGCCCAGGATGTAGAGCGACATGTCTAGGAAGAGCTGCCCCACGGAGCTCTGGGCTCCACCCCCAAGACCCGGGAACTCCGACTTCAGCATGGCCAGCGTGAAGTTACGGCCGTGACGCAGCACCAGGTCGAAGGCCTCTGCAAGAGAGCAAGAAAGAAACATGAGGAAAGAGTCAGAAGTGTGGGTGGGGGGGGGGGGGGGCACCTTTTTGAAAGCTGTTGCACTCATGCCTCAGCAATCACAACAACTACGCCGAGCTGTCAGAAAAAATTAGGCAGCAATTTAGCTCAAAAACATGAAACACTCGAAAAGATGCAATTCCCCCCAAAACATGATCCCATCGTTAACGATCACAGTGGGAGAAAACTTCCCACGCACATCCTCTCTTTCCCTTTCCCCCAGTTTTTCTCAATCTGTTATTTTCACTAATGGGGCTGTTCACACAAACACAAAGCTGCTAGGACAGACTATGGCTGGGAATATAAAGAGAGCAAAGCTCCTGGAAAAGATGAAAAGCAAGATCTGGGGATTGATCTTTCAATACAACTAAAGAGCGGACTAGAACTGAGCTCACGGGATCTTAAAGACGAAGTCCCTTTTAAAGGAGAGCATTAATGCCAATATATTAGTCAGCGGAGAGAGGCGTGAGGAAGTCTGCAGGGAGAGAAACATACGGAGGATGGCGGAGGGAGGGGTGCGCGGCCGACGTGAGCAGGGAAAATAATCGGTGACGTTTTTCAAGGCTCACAGTGAAGTCTTATCAACAAGGTGGCACAAGAAGTCGGAGCTCTTGCATCGACCCCGGAAGCAAAATGAGCGAGGGCCCCGACAACAACAGAAGGGATTTCTAGCTCCATTACTGAACTTAGCGGGGGAGCTGAGAGTCAGTGAAATGAAGCTTTTTGCACAGGAGAATAGCTGGGGATGCCCAAATCCCATTTATACTGCAGCTAGTCCACTACATCACTGTGTTGAGAGCGATAGCCACTACTGCTTTGTGAGGGCATGTGGGGGGAAGCGGGGGGAGCGTAGGTTTAAGGGATCGTTAGAGGAGTTTTATTGCTTTTATGTGCCACAAAAGCCAGCCATTTCATCTTTGTTATTTCATTTTATTCCTCGCTCGGCTAGTTTCATTTCTTTCTCCTCATGCGTCTCGGGGGGCCAAATGAAGCTTGTCGGCCCGCACGGAGCACCGGGTCCTCGGACAGCACCGGGGCACGGCGTCACACCTCTGACTCTTCTGTGTAGAACGTTTAATGTGTTTCTCTTTGTGCAATTTCAGGCACACGAGGGGGTCCATTTGAGAATATGGCAATATCTGAGGAAAAGAAAAACACACATCACCCCCTCTCTCTGACTAGCTGCTGCTGCTGCGGTGCATTCCAATGTAACTTTAACACAATCCGAACACATACATTCATTCTGGGTGGTGGGAGTTGAGGCGAAGACCTCCACATGTGTTGAAAATGTTGCCATGTTGAAGCTTTATGGCCCAATACATTAACTTACAGAAATGATAAGAGAAACAGAAAGGGAAATAATAGACACAAGTTGTTTTTTTTAATGCGGTTGCTTTAGTATAGTTAGTATCACTTGACTCTGGTTCCAGTGTGTAGTGTTCATTGCAACAGACATACATCTGTGAAAACACTATGACGATACTTCTACGCCTCCAAAGTAAAAGGTAAATAACATGCCGCGTCTAAGGCTGAGTGTCTGGGTTTGAATGGGTTCGTTGCAATTAAATGATGATTTATTTAAAGGAGCAGTGTGTAGGATTATAGGGGTAGAAATGGAATATAATGTTCAAAACTATGTTTTCATTGGTGCACAATCACCTGAAACAAAGAATCGTTGTGTTTTGGCCGCCATGTTGCACCGCCATGTTTCTACAGTGGCCCAGAACGGACAAACCACACACTGGCTCTAGAGAGGCCCACCGGAGTTCTCTACAGGCTTGGAAAGGTTTTGGGATCAGATGCTTAATGCAACCTTAACCATTACATGCCTCCAAATCTCCCTCACTGCTCCTTTACATCAACTGGCTCCAGAGAATCCTAAATTAGAGAAAATGCGCTACACTATTATTCAGCTGTAGCGTGGCCGCAGCGGCCGCTGTTCAGCTGAAGTCGCGCTGCCTCGAATTAAACGAGTCATTTATCCCCAAACTTTCTCAGCGGTAAACAGCGTCAGGCTGTGGTTTTAACATTTGAGTGCATGCGTGAATATGAAACAGGGTGGGAAACAGCATGCGTGCTCAGTGAAACCGTTGCCGGGTGGATAGTCGGGTTATAAAAGAAACATTTGAGGATGTTTGAGTGTGAGGAGGATGCTCGGGAGCGGCGCGCATCTGTTTAGGTTTTTCGGGGCCGCGGCCGCCCCGCTGAGTCTGAGAAGCACTTCCCTCTGTGATCAATGAGCAGACAGATGTGCGGATTGCCAGTCGAGGCAAGGAGACAGACTGGGAGGAGGGAGGACACGCCCACACACACACGCAGAGACAAAACACACACGTAGACGCTCAATTCCTGGTAATTCCTCTTATATTTGGTTACTGATGGAACATTGAAGGCGGTGAGAAAATGCACATCCACCTCAAAGCTATTTGCTTCCCCTTTTCCCCGCTTTCTGTGAACATCAAACCCTGTGATTCCGCCGCTACCTGTAGTATCTCTTACACCACAAAGAGGAGAGCCACTTTGTAATGGTAAAGAGAAAGACTAGAGGGCTCTTCATAGATGCAATCCAGTGGCTCTAAGTAGCCCGGGTCACGGTACGAACCGTTGCGAGCCCATTTCCTGTGCGCGCCGCTCGCTCTCCTTCATCAGTGAAAGCCTGCGTTGCGGGATCAGGTGTCCTCTAATGGAGGGGAGAGGGGGCTGTGTGTCAGGGGCCTGTGACATCCTGGGTGAACGCCAGAGGAGGTCAAGAGCTCTACATTACCGGAGTGGGGGAGCCCGATGCAACATATTGGGTCGCGCTTAAAATTAGCAGTAGCATTTATTTTGTCGCTGTCACGGATGGAGACAGAAGGCTGGCTGCTGGAAAGTCGTTTCCCCTCCGAGACCGAAGGCTTTTTACAGGCGCATCAGCAGCGAGGGGGGGGGGGGGGGGGACGTCTCTGCCTCTCCTCTTCCACATCTATCCAACAGCCAGATAATGTTTACTCCAAGGGGTTTAGGCCTCTCAGCTTCCTCGTGCATTAAAATATGGATATCCACTAATTTACCTCACATTAAGCGCTCCATCCCATTGCCATTGACACCGTCGCTCTGCAGTGTTCCACCGGTTTATCCTAATACCTACATTGTCTCCGTATCGTGTCATTAATCAAAGCCCTCGATTAAAATGTGATCAAGTCCCGCAGGTCGTCCAAAGTGTGAAAGAAAGCTCATAAATCCGCATCACGGTGGGGTCACTTACTTCCGACACACAAAAAGCTCCAAGTGACTCCCGCTCCGACATGAAACAGGCTTTTCACATAATCTATGAACGGCCTGTCAAATGAGCATATTTGATGTCTGTGAGGGCCATCAGTCTCGGGTGTTACGTAAGTCAAACTAGGTGCGTGCCAGACTGACTGACTGACTGCGGTCGACACGCTGCGGAGGCAGACATGCTCCTATAGTGGCCTCATCAATCAGCTGCCCGTACACCTATTATCCCCGGGAGGGGAAAACATCAATGCATTACAGCAGCCAATGAGACTAATCCATTTGGCTGATGGCGTGTCACCTCTAGCCGCCACGGAGATGGATGAAGAAGCCGCCGCCACCTGGACCCGGTGACAAAACAGTAGCTGTCCAGGACGCAGGGAGAGGACTGGCAGGAGGGCTGGAGGGCCATTTACAAAGACAGCCGTCAGCGGTGGAACATAAAGTGATTTATGTAATAAAGCAAAACTGACTAACCCTTTTTTTAAAACGTGTTGATTGTGAAGTTTAGACTTCAGAAAGCAAACAGCGGTCAAAATGTCTTGAGCCTGCAGTAAAAACACATCAGTTTGTTTAGCATACAGACGCGTGCACAGGCTGACACGTGCATCAACCTCCCAGCGTGCTTTGCTTTCAGTAAGGATTTTATGAGCCTGTTTACAACAAAAGCAGCATCTGCTCATTGACTGTAAACAATATGCTGTTTTTCCAGACACATTCCACTCCGCTCCCGCAGGTAACCCGAGAGCAGATCCACCTGACCAGCTGTGTCCCAATCCGGGTGCCCCCGCGTTTTACGGGACGGGACGGGAGGGGGGTGGGGCTGATTCCAGGAACAGAGCAGACAGGATGCTGGTAAGGCCCAGATAGCATCACCAGCGGACCGCGAGGGCCAACGGACAGCGGGGCGCAAACGAGACACGTATTAGGTTACTCCATCTGTTGAAGAGAGCGGCGCGTCCCACACACAAAGACACGCGCAGGCTCACCGACGTACACAATGCAATCACTGCAGCGCACAGCAGTGGCCAGGTGGTGACGCCGTGGGCGAGTATTTGGCACAGCAGAGCGGGGAAGGGCAAGGTGGCAGTCAGGTGTAAGGACTGCACCTACACACACACACACACACACACACACACACACACACACACACACACA